TGGGTTGTTTTCACATACCACCAACACACACGATAAGTAGAGGTCAATATGTGTGAAGTGCAGAAACCACCGTAAATACCGATGGTTTCTGGACTTCGGAGAAAGCATTCGGAGACATAAGATTGTGGACGAACAGATGGCCAGAAGGCTGGGGTGGATCATGGGGGGGGTGTGACCATATATATATATATATATATATATAGGTATGCAAACATACATAAATCCATACGTACATACATACATGCATACATGGTATATTTCGGTAAAGCCGCAGTGCCTCAACCCCTCCGCCTGCAGAACACGCTCATCTGTGATCGCGGCAGTGGCTGCGTACCGCCGAACAAGGAACTCTCCCGACAACAAGGATGGCTGTAAATCAGAGGGTTCGGAAACACTCCTTGACTAATTACCCCGAAACTAAACAACCCTTACTGAAGGATTCCTGCCGCCCTACGCCCTGCTTGAAGGCCAAAGGTCAAGCATCTCCATGTCCCCAGACTACAGTAACTAACAGACCTCAGCCCTAAACCTTAAAAACCCTCAACCCCATAAACCTTATAAGCTCTAAAACCCCGAACCCAACGGCAGAGTTTTTGGGCAGCGTAGGCATAACCTTGATGAGGAAGGATTTGAAGTCTACTGTACGACAACTATACTCATAAGAAGGCCTATGATTCTAGCACTGTAGAACTGTCGCGGCGCATCCTTTGACTTTCCATGAAGTCTTTCTACTGCCAAGCTTTCGAACAGCTTTCATTCTTCCGAAACCTGAATATCAGATCCACTCATTCTGATGCTAAGGCTGCTGGCCTTAACCCCACACTTTGGGGCGCCCAGGGGGGAGCTGCGGCATCTTCCTTCGCCAAGCCGCTGACGTAGAAAACTTCATTCGTGACTCAGGGTTTAGGATTTACGGTTTGAGGTTCAGGGTTGTGACTCCTGGATATGCTCATTTCGACTTCGGTGTCTTGTAGCAAAGCTTAACAGAGCGGATGGCCACATGTGCAGCGCAGATCACATATAGGCATAAGGGGAAATCCGAAGTGGTCTCGCAGCACTGCTAGATTATGTTCGAACTTGCCATATTCTTTGTCACAGTCCGTACAACAACCTGTCTGTGTATCGCAAAGCAGAGGAGTCTGCAACTACTCTTGGGCCTCTGTTTGACCTGTAGCTTTCCGTGCCTGCCGGATCGATCGTAAGCTTGCCGTTGAAGCTCGTTAAACCCTAAACCCTAAACCCCTAAACCCTAAACCCTAAACCCCTAAACCCTAAACCCTATGAGCCCTAAATGTCAGATTGAATCTTCAGCTCAGCAATGCCCGCAGGGCACCTCTTCCTCCTGGCCTTCCTTTCGAAAGACGCAGTCAGGTTCGGCGGATCGTAGGCCTGCAACTTCCGCACTTGCTCATACTTGGAGGTTCATGGGTAGTTATAAGTGGGGTTATAGGGTTCCTTTAAGGGTTCTGTCGGGTTTAGGGTTTAGGGTAGTTATAAGTGGGGTTATAAGTAGGGTAACTATATAGTTATAACCCATATTAGGGGACTTATAACCCTACTTATAACTACACATGAACCTCTAAGTACCCCTGCTCTCCCCCATGTCTTTCTGGAAGGGCATCGAGTGAAAACAATTCCCCTTTCGCAATCGCAACGTGCACATCAAACACGTCAGCCAGAACTACAGTGAACCTACCACTGGAACCATCCTTGGACCAGGGTGCAAGACACGCATAAAAGGGCCCTGAAAACAAGCTTGACTACAAATGACCACAGCCCCTGACAAGCGCCATGCATGCATATATATATATATATATACATATCGGGGCCCTGAGACGGGGCATCACTTGACTTGTCTCATTTTTGTGTGTACATACATAGTTATATATGCATATGATTAAATTATTTGTCTATATAAGATACATATACATATATTGTATATATGTATAATGTCTACGTGTATCTATATACATGTATATCTGTATATGTACGATACCCTACATTACACTGCATTACATTACCATGCATTACACTACACCACACTACATTGCACTAAATTGCGTTACGTTGCATTGCCTGGCACTGTGTTGCATTGCATTACATTACAGTACATTATGCTCATTACAGAGGATACCAAACATAACATAACATAAACCACATAACATATCATACTGCACACGTAGTTACATAATCTGTTTAATCAGCGTTTCTGCTTGTGCAATTACCCATGTACATACACATATTGAACTCATCCGCGCATGTACAGATATCTACACATACTAGTACACGCATTAAGTTAGTACATCTGTACAGCACACGGGCACATACACATGTGTGTACATACATAATATATATGCATATGTGTGTGTAGAGATAGGTAGGTAGATGTGCATGCATAGATACCATAGAAACTGCAATACACACACAGATTCACATATATAAACATATAAGCAAACCCCCACAGCTACACATACACGCACATGCGTGTATATAACGATATGATATCGAAAACGAAAACGACTTCACCTGTGGAGCCTTTTAATAATTACAACGAGATTCTGGGCTGCTGTATAGGATGATTATAATAAGTAGCCCTAAGGAACAAGTTTGTAATTTTTTGGGGTGTTCCGAAAATAGGGGACCATAATATAGTATCCTTCATAGTCGGATCCTTATGATAAGGGGCCCCAAAATAGGATACCCCTTGATTTCGGAAACTCCCATTTAGGGCTCCATACCTTAAACCCTAAAACCCCAAAACTCAACACCCTAAACCCTAAAGCCTAAAGCCCTAAACTCTAAACCCTAAAACGCTAAACCCTAAAACCCTAAACCCTAAAACCCCTAAACCCCTAGCTCTCTTCTTCAACAACCAGGCCCAAAAAAAGTTCAAACTTTTTAGGATAGACCTAATACATAAGGCCGAAAAGTTTAAAGTTCTCCCATTGGCTATCTAAGTTAGACTTCTAACTTAGCCTTTGGCCACGCCGACCTTTGGGTCGACCGAGCCCGGAATTCGCCAAAGGGCCGGCTTTGCCTGCACAGGCTTTTAGGGTCTTAGGTTTAGGGGTTGAGGGGTTCAGGGTTTTTGGGGTTTAGGGGTTTAGGGGTTTAGGGTTTTTGGGGTTTTGAGGTTTAGGGTTTAAGCTTTTGGGGCTTTAGGATCTTAGGTTTAGGGGTTTAAGCTTTTTGGGGTTTTAGGGTGTAGGGTTTAGCGTTCTTGGGGTTTTAGGTTTAGGGGTTTAGGGTTTGGGGCTTTAGGGGTTCAGGGGTTTAGGGTTTTTGGGGTTTTGGGGTTTAAGCTTTTAGGGGTTTTAGGGTTTACGGGTTTAAGCTTTTGGGGGTTTTAGGGTTTAGGGTTTAGGGTTCTTGGGGTTTTAGGATCTTAGGTTTATGGGTTTAAGCTTTTTTGGGTTTTAGGGTTTAGGGTTTAGGGTTCTTGGGGTTTAGGGTTTTGGGGTTAGAACTAGGGTTTCAGGGTTTAGAAGTTTTGGGGCTTTAGGGCTCTAGAGTTCTAGGGTTTAGGGTTTTTGGGTTACAATTATGGTTTCAGGGTTTAGGGCTTAAAGGTTTAGCATTCAATTGCTGGAGGTTTAGGCGGTTTAGGGCTTAGGGCCTGTACCAAGTACCTCCAGCAGACAGTATCGAGGTTTGGTTTTGTTGAAGTGTGGACTTCTACACTCAACAGACCCCTCTCTGTGAAGGGCCAGGATGCTTGGATTCCTTGTACAATCCTTTTATAGTGTTTAGGGTTTATAGGGTTTAGGGTTTATAGGGTTTAGGGTTTACGGTTGAGGGGGTTTCACTGGTCAGGGGTCTACACTATGCTTTCAGATCGGATGGCAAGCAAACGGCTATCACCCATCAAAACCCAAGCCTGGGTAATGCAGGGTAATGCAGCTTGCCCTGTGGAGCATGCCTATCGCCAGAAGCATGCAAGCTGGGACGCCATGCATGCAAGAAACCATATCAAATCAAACCAAACATGTCATAATCATAAATCACCTAAACCCTAAACCCCTAAACCCTAAACCCTAAACCCTAAATCCTAAAACCCTAACACCCTACACCCTAAACTTACTGCACCTCCGGGCATGAGCTGGAGAGGGACCTCAACACGTCGGATCGGTCTTGCGATTTAGCTTTACGGTTCCAGGTTGGTGATCATAGCCCCCTGGTAGGAGTTAGGATTAGGGGGACCCTTAGGGATATAGACCCTAAACCCTAAACCGTTTAAGAGAGCCATTAGAAGCAGGGAAAAGAAGGGGCCCCTTCTTGCTTGGAGAGTCGGGGGACTTAGTAAATGGCTGTTTTATGGACTTATAAGTACTATAACCCCAATTAAATTCCCTGTTAGATTACTTATAAGTTTTATAGACTTATAAGTACTATAACCCCAATTAGGGTCCCTTTTAAGGTACTTATAAGTCTACTTATTACCTACTTAGTAAGTCTCCCGACCCTCCAAGTGGGGTCTCGCGAACACCACTTACGACCTGGCCCGTCCTTCGGGGGCTCCCTGGCCGGGTTGACGCCCATCTCTTCGGCAACCTTGTGGCGGGCTCTCAAGGTTAGGGTTTAGGGTTTAGGTTAGGGATGTTTGGGGCCACTCGGGTTTGGAAGTTTCGGTGTTGGCTTGTGTAGAGAAACTCCCGCGCGCACATCGGTGGATTTCACGGCATGAAAGGCCCGCGGTTCCCGGGACAAGGATTCAAGCGTGTGACGCCGGCATTCGGTCGCAGATGGAAGACACAGGGAACAAAGAATAAATCGTGGTGCAAACTGCTCCTATCTCCTCGAAACTGGGTGGGTCGTATTTGAGGGATAGGCTAGATGTATCCCCTTTGAGGTCCCTTAATCACTAAACAGTTGTCGTTTCTCACAGTTTGCTGCAGCACACTACATGCAACAAGTATAGCTTAAGGGATGAGGGTTATAACTCTTGTTCAGTCCTAAAACCTATTGTAGTGCGCACGACACCAAGCTTTATATTCTGTATCTTCCAGGCCATTTCCAAGTCTTGGAACCCGAAATCAAGAAAGCTACCCAGCGAGCCCAATACCCCTTAAATCAGGAATACCTTGAACCATAATATTCGTGCCCCTATAACTTGATGTACATTCCTCCGTATAAAGGGCTCTCTGGGTACCATAGCTTGAATGATTGGTGCAAGCTTTGGCCTAAGCGACGAGGCACGGAGCAGGGTTGTTTCGGGCTTTAGGGGTTAAGGTTTAACTAGGGCTTCAGGGGTTTAGGGGTTCTGGTGTTTAGGGGTTTAGGGCTTCTGGGGTTTAGGGGGTTTAGGGCGGTTTAGGATGACGTTTGCGATTCTCGGGTCCAGGCGTTCATGAGCTTTGTATGCTGCCTCATCTTCCAAAACAGGGAGTCGCCAGCCTCGAACATGCCGGCCTTGGTGCAAGATGACGGAAGACGAATGAGCTTCACTTGAATGTCGGGGCCTGAATACTTAGAATAGAGTTTTGGGGGCTCCTTTTTAAAATCATAGCATACTATACCCCAAACCCTATCCTAACCCTACAGTATGGTTGGTAAAACTACATGAACCAGAGCCTTAAGTCCCAGGGCCAGACAAAAACCCAAAGATCACACCGCGTTGCATGTTGTGCATGTTTGGAGGGCTGGGAGTGACACACACATACACACACACACACTATGTATCTGAAAACGCCTAAATGATGTTTGCTTGAACGTGTGAGTAAAAAGATGAGCGCTCATGCAGCTTGCCATGGGCGGGTGTATCCCATCATGAGATTCCTGTGCATCTCAAGTCTGCCTGTGTTGCGGATTGCAAGGTACTCGAAATCCAAGCCGCCTGTGCCTCACAGGATCACCTGTATGCTGTTCGACACAGGCACTGCTTCTAGGATTGCAAACTCCAAGCCGTACTTCCAGCGAGCGCAGGCTTCCCCAGCAAGATGCGAGTGACATGGGCAAGCCATCGCCAACGTAATGTTTCTGAAATCCGTCTGCATGCGACACACCCCGTGTACGAAACGATGGACCCACTGTGGAAGAACATCTTCTCGCTAAGGTGTGAGTGGGTTCATTGCGGCACCGCGAACACACCTGGTCGTGGAGCGTGCGTCTACCGCAGAACACAGAAACGAACACTGGCATTTGCCACCTTCATAAAAACATAGCATACACATACATGTATGCCGTGATAATTGCCGTACATTGGTGCGCAATCGTAGTTCGCTGTGCTTTGCCCAGATTGCTACTGTATACCGTTACGACGGCAAGCGGTGTCAACTACGAGTTCATTCTGGTAGCTGCAACTGCTCCCGCACAGCTACCTGCACAAGCACTGCTTACAGAGCGTACGGTCTGTGACGTTCCCGCAGAGCTGGAGATCATAAAGTCCCAAATCCTAAAACCCTAACATCCCAAACGCTGAACCCCAAAGTCCTGAACCAACAGAGACAACTCCACCGAGCTCGGCACGTTCTCGCAAGCTCTGATCGCTGGCATATAGTTGTCCTGCGGCTGACGACTCCGAGCATGGAGGGGTTCTCATGACTCATGATAATTTTCGCACAACCCCCCTCGACACCCAAAACAGGCTGCTGGGGATAGGACATTTTTAGTTTTTAAAGACGCGTGGGCGTGTCAAACTAGGCCGATGGGCTGTCGACTCCAGCCGAATCTGAATCTACTCGCTTTCAGTTCTCAGTGCGTTCAAGGTCGAAGCTTACAGCTTGTTCAGAAACCCCTAAACGCTGAACGGAAGCAACAGGACACCTCGACTGCTGGACAACACCCTCATTTCGGGATCGGCCGGCAGCGCTTTAGGGGCTCTTTGCCTCCCTCAGTGCATGTTGGCATTACCCTCTCAGAGCAGTAAGGGCTTGCTGAAAAATCCACCGCCCCTACCACCCTCATTACCGCTACCACCCGCACCACCCCCACCACCACCACAACCACTAGCGGCAGCGGCACCAGCATTGCAAACTACGATGGCAACAGCTGAAGCAAGAAACGGAACACCCCGAATGATGACTTGCGGTAGTCTCTCTGCAACACAGTATCGTTGCTCGCATGTCTTGTATCTGTCTCATATTACAACCTCAGCGTGCGGTGTCCTCATTGGGCACAATGCTGTACTCCCAAAGCTGGTCCAGGAGGTTGAGTGCCTCTCGATTGGGCTTACGGTTTAGGTTTTGGGGATTGGGAGTGAAGGGGGTTTAGGGTTTAGGGGCCTGAGTTGGGACTCAACAATCTTAACCACGAGCTTGAGTTCATGAGCTTGTGGGATTTCGAGTTGACGGCTGGAGCAACGCAGCTCCCGGAACCCATGCTTCTGCTAGAGAGTTCATGGTGGAGCTGAGAGGGAGACCCGCTTCCTCACCCTACACCTTTAGGGTTTAGGGGTTTAGGGGTTTAGGGGTTTAGGGTTTAGGGTTTAGGGGCTTAGGGTTTGCGCGATTGCTAGCACCGCGAATGTTCGCCTTGTCACGAATCTTCGTGTTCTTTTCAGCCAGCGGCCAGACCTGAATACGCTACACTCCACACCGCTCCGAGTACCCATCTCTCGCCGGGCTTCTAGGCTTTGCGGTTCACAGTTTGGGGCTTGGGTTTAATATATCTAAAACTCAATTAAGACTTACATGACCATTAAAATCTTAAACTCCTAAACCTTAGACACAAAGCTCCTTGTCCGAGCTCTCAACTCTAGAGCCCGCAGAAGATGCCCGCTTTTGGAGATCCCTTCCGTTCCAAAAGGGATGCTCCAAAGTAGATGTTCTGTCAGAGTACTGCCAACAACTGCCACAGCCCTGTGATCCTACAATTTGGCCTTTGAAGCTCACGCATAGAGTGATGGCCCTGGACCATATATACTCAAGATCCTGAAAGCCCAAACATCCCGAAACCATAATCACTAATTAAATCCTAAACGCATGCATCCCCAAAACAGCTGCTCGGCCTTCTCCCACTTCGCACCCTTCTCGCAAGCCATGAGAGCATGCTCCGCACCGATGCGGAGGGGCGCCTCAGCTGGAGATTTCGCTCAATGCTGGTTTGGGCTTTAGTAGGCTGTAACTATAGGGTTCAGGGGTCTATACCCGAAAAGAGGCATGAGGAATTCAGAGGACTGACTATCGGTGCATGTACTTCGCCGGGAACCATCAGCCAGCAACTACCCGACGAATTGAAAGGCAGGCGTCCATGTTGTGGTCCATCATCTCGTCCAAGGTCTCCACTGCCTAGGCAGTTTCCACACATGACTGGTTCGGGGCCTAGCGTGCGTCCCAAGGACGTTTCTGACCAAGCCTAGGAACATGTCATGCAGTACAGCCTCACATTACAGCGTACAGCACAGCGTAGTGACCGAGCTAATAATGCAAACAAAGGGCCGCTACAAGAACAAATAGCACCGGTCAACTCTTGTCAGCCCGTAACGGCTGCAAAGAAGCTCCTAGCTCACAGTGACGCCCGGCCTTCCACCACTTGCCCATGGAATTGTAAGCAACGATAGCAGCAGTGTACGTAGCTGGAGTCCTGGCACAGCTACTGACCAGATGTGCATCCAATTTGACAAGCTACGCTGCGCTGGAATGGCTAAAGGTAGTTGAACATAACACATAATCGCATCTTGTATCATATTATCGTTTCAGGGAGTCCCACTGGGCCATTGCAGGGCCTATAAGCCCCCATCATCCCGCTACGGCCGCTACGGGCTCGTCTAAGGGAACACGAACACCGACTGCACGAATGAGCTGCGACAGCACGCGAAGCAAGTAAGAATAATGCGTATTCTTGACAGCCGGACTTCTGATGTCTCGGTGCGAGGACAGCACCCAAGACTGATTCGATCTATGAACTTGCTCCAGGTATTCAGGCCCGCTCAGATCACTCCGACGAAACTGTTTTACAACCATTGCTTGGAAACAACACTTCACAAGTCACCACGTAGGGATGAAGACGGAAGCCTATTCAAGGTAACTTTCTGGAAGTCAGCTGAAGTTCTCGCCCTAGCAAAGCGAGAGGACCCGCAAACATGACAGATTCTCTCTTCCAAGCCTTTTGCCTTGCAGCACACGAATCTGTGGGGATTGCTGTACAGGAGGAGTTCGTTTGAGGTACTTTCTAGTTCCCCTGGTTCAAGGCTACTTACTCTACTACTAATAGACTAAGGTAGCTGCTGATATCGAAGAGTCTACTATGCAGCAAGGACCCGTAGTTAAACCGGGTCCTACTTCACCACAGTTGAGACAGGAAGGTCGTCTTGTGGAAAGAATGATATAACGGCCTGGAAATATGAGACTGGGTTGAGTTGGATGAATTTCTGCTGGGGAGTATGAAGAGGGAACTCTACTGAATACACTAATAACAATAATCATCTTATTAATATTTGTCAGGCACTTGCAATGCCCACTATGCCAAGACGATCTGATCTGTGGGGAAGCTCGCAAAGAAGAAGCCTAAGCCTACACCTAAGGCCAAACCCTGGCACCTGGACCCTCCCACAACGATCATGATTGTTTTGGACTTATAGGGTCTAGGGTTTAGGGTTTTGGGTTTAGGGTTTAGCTTTTAGGGGTTTAGGGTTTAGGGGTTTAGGGTTTAGGGGTTTAGGGTTTAGGGGTTTAGGGTTTTGGGTTTAGGGTTCATGACTGTTTTGAGGGGTGAAGATTTAATTCGTTCATGCCAATATCGGATCCAGGGAGCCATGGAACCTTGAGCATAAGCCAAGTACGGCTAGCCAGCAAGCAAATAATTTCCCGTACCTTACCAATGAACACAGGTACAAATCCAAACCCACAGCTGAAGCTTCGGTAGGGCGAGTTCCTGGCATGAAACAGCAGGCAGAAACGTTATGCCGACAGCGATGCGTTCTGGCTCCTGCATGAATTTGCTCGAAAGAGATCCTCGCTGTTACGAACTTGCAGAAGTTCACCTGTCCGTCCATCAACCTCCGAGGCTTCGAAACTTTTAAAACCCAGAATGCCTTAACATTGAACCAGCAACCTCCAGCCAAGAAGAGAGTTCTGCACCCAATGAGCTTCAAACTCGCATTCTCCGCCACAGCTCCAGGGCTTCGTTTGAGCACTTCACCTGGATGATGTTTTTGGAGGGGTGTTTGTCCCTGCTTGCACGATCGCTGTCCGAGTGATAAGGTAACGAAGTGTGATCGGAGGTCGGAACACAGGCCCGCCGGTATGAAGCAACGCGGGACAACTTCAGCAATGACAAAATGCTACTGCTACGAGTACCACCCCCGCCACCACAACCACCACAACCGCAACCACAGCCACAACAGCAAGAACAACACCAGCAACAACGAACGCAATAATAAGAACCAAAGGATGATCTTGTTTTCTGCCCAAAGGAGGGGCCGTAATAATTAGAATTGAGTTTTGGGGCCCATTATACTGTAATTCTACTAAGGACCACCCCAAAAATAATATAGGAAGTTATTAAGGCCCCTATGTTATGATGTGGCTGCCATATGCCACTGCAAGGCTCAGGCCTCAGTCATCTTCTTCATGGCACACCTGGGCTTTCGGTTTAGAGTTTACCTATAGTCTCCATTGTAGTTCCTTTTTGGGGATACCTTATAAACTCCTTAACATATAACTGGTTAAACCAAGAAGAGAAACTACAATGGAGACTATAGGTAGGTTTTGATGGGGTGCCGGGTTCCGCATCAGGAACATTCAGTTTAAGGGAGGCTCATCCGAGGTTCAACCTGGGAATGAGCTTCGTGGACAGAAAACACTTGGGGGTTTCCGAAGACAGGGGACCTTAATATAGTACCCCAAATAGTAGGATCCTTATTATAAGGACCCCCAAATAAGGTACCCTGATTGTCGGAAACTCCCACTTAGGTCTTAGGCAGCAGAAGCAGCAATCCGATCTCGTCCTTCGACGCACCATCACTTCTTCTCCATCAGACGCTAAACCCAAGAAGCCGTGATCTGATCCCCAAGCCCTGAACCCTAGAAGCGTGATCCCCATCTCCATCGCAGTGACAGGCAGGGACATGTGAGTCTTCGTAGACAGCTACAGGCTGGGCCCACTGGTAAGATCTGCAACGCCAGACGTAGTACCTACAGGTGAGACAACCATTGGTGTAAACGCATGAGTAGACTAGTTACAAGAAGAGAAATAATGAACGGGCACAAGCATCATGGGAGTTTCCGAATATAAGGGTACCTTATTTTGGGGGCCCTTATAATAAGGATCCTACTATTTAGGGTACGATGTTAGGGTCCTATCTTCGGAAACCCCCTCGTTGCGGCAAGCAGAGCAGTTTTGGAAGTCAGCTCGGGGCTCGGGGGCTTCTTGGTCAGGTTGTTAAGGGTTTAGGGTTTAGGTTTTAGGGTTTAGGGTTTAGGATGCGAGGAACTTAGGTTTCAGGGATTGATGTAGGGGCCTAAATTACTTAACAAGACTAGTTGGGGGTTCCTTATTGGTATTATGGTAGAATGGGCCCCAAAACCCTATCCTAATGATTAAGGCCCTACACCCTAAACCCTGATAGTAGCCCTTCTAGAACCCTTTAAGGAACCCTTCAAAGGAACCCCCCAAAACCCAATTCTAATTGTTAAAGGCCCCTATAACTCCCTAAACCCTAAACCCTAAACCCTAAACCCTAAACCCTAAACCCTAAACCCTAAACCCTATAAACCCTAAACCCTAAACCATATTAGGGGGCCCCAGAGCCGAGACAACTAGGGTTTACCTTTAAGGGCCCCTTCAGGGGGTTTAGGGTTTAGGGTTTAGGGTTTAGGGTCTAGGGCGCCTTTAAGGGCTCCTTTAAGGGGTTTAGGGTTTAGGGTTTAAAGAGGGAAAGCAACCCTCTGTGTCAGATCCGGCTGTCGGCGACCCAGAGAACCGCAGGAATTACCAGTATGACTGGTTAGGGTTTAGGGTTTAGGGGTTTAGGGTTTAGGGTTCAGGGTGTTACAGAACCCAATACATCTTAATTAAGGAATATACCTTAAATTCTAGGGGCCTTATTATTAGGACTTTAGGTATATTCCTTGATTAAGGGGTATCGGGTTCTCTGGGGAACGGTATAGGGGCTTATAGGGTTTAGGGTCTTATAGGGTTTAGGGCTCAAAGGGTTTAGGGTTTATAAAGTTTGGGGATTATAGGGCTTAGAGTTTAGGGAAAGACACAAGCTCAAATAGAAGCTGAACTCCCGAACCGGAATTGAGCTGTTACACCCCTCGCCTCTATGATGGAGGACCCGGCGCCCCTTGCGATGCGCAGCTTCCTTGTGTCGTTCCTGAAGCTGGGCTCACACTTGGAGAGCTGCTATGGTGTCTGGTTTCGGGTGTTGGATTTAGCTATACTGAACTTAGACCCCTAGCAAAAATTATAATTTTAGCTGCTTCTTAGGGTTTATAGTAACCAAAGATTAAGAATTATTTCTATTTCATCTGCAGTCAAGTCTCAACTGCACCTCGCAATCCAGCTCGGCGTCTGTCCTTGGTTCCATCATGCTTTGAGAACACCTGCGAGGTGATCGACCTACTCCTTGTGCATCGCATGTGATGAGAGGCTTCAGTGAAGCCTGCCCACTGCAGAAGGATGCTGTTGGGTAGTTCTCTAAACTAGGGTCCCTTTTCAGGTCCCCAATATAGTACGGCACCGTTATGAAAAGGACCCTAAAAGGGACCCTAATTTAGAGAACTACCCCGTTTCTGAGGACCGTGCATGCTGTCCATAATGACCTCGTCAGCTTCTCTGAAACGTGGGAAAGAAGCGCCAGACCCCATGCTTCCGAACTTCCTAGAGACTCCAAAACGCCTTACTTACGGAATATACTTTAAAATCTAATGGGAGCCCTAATATGATTTAAGGAGTCTCATGCGAATATTCTAAACTCATACAAATACTCATGTTAATACTAGTACTAGTGCTAGTACTAATATTACCAGGAATACGAATGCGAATACTGATACTCATAATAATACTCATACTAAAATTAGTACTGATACATATACTAGCACAAACACTAATACTAATCCCCATACTAACAATCGTATCAACACTAATACGAGCCAGTAAGACTAAAATTAGAAGATCAGTAAGTCTGAGGTTCATACTGTTGTTGATTTTACCTTAAGGACTCTAAACTTTGGGAATTCCGGTATATTCCTTCATCTGGGTGATGGAGGATTTATATCATCAGTCCTAAACCCTAAACCCTAAACCGTTAACACCAGGAGCCTCCAGCCCCTCGTCCCTGGACCCTAAAAGCCCTAAGCCCCAATCTAGGGACAGAAAGTTTGAGGTTCACAGTTTCTGCCTATAGTCTCCATTGTAGTTCCCATTTTTTGGTTTAACCGATTCTATATTAAAGGTTCTACAAGGTGACGCCAAAAAGGAACTGCAATGGAGCCTACAGGTGGAGCTCCTCAGAGACCCCTAAACCCTAAAACCTAAACCCTAAATCCTAAACCCTAAACCCTGATCCTTAAACCCAAACCCTAAACCCTAAACCCCTTCCTCGAGGCTCGGGCCATGAACCGCTTGATTCGCTTCAC